ATGTAAGAAGTTACCAGAGTTCATAATCAGGACATGGAGAAAAGTTACATTAAATTATTGTCTTTCATTGTACTTCTTCTCTTTAAGAGCAGCCTTTGACACAAAATGAAAAGAAAGAATCCAAGTGTTTTCCAAGCCCCCAAGTCTTTCTCGTTTCATAATTGATTTGCCATTTGCTAGAAAAGTGGTGATTTGGGCTGTTTACTTGTGCTTGTCAGAATTTCCTATGTGGGCAAAGAGTTATATTAAAACCACTTTATTTCACCATTTTTACATTGCTAAACTGTGGAGCTAGACCCCTGGAATAAATAGTGTATTGAGTATTAGGGGTTTGTTTTTGAAATGAGCTGAATCATCTTGTAGTAGTACCAAGGTAAAATTGTTTCTATGCTGGTAAAGGCACCTGTTTTTTCTTGTAGTTAATTTGTCACTTTATTTTTCTGTGGTTACTTTTTCAGTTGTGTGTATGTAAACATTTGTCTATTTCTCCCCTTAGGTTTTCTGAACTGTTGTGTTTACTGAAAGACCTAAAGTGTATTTTTCTTCATCTGATGAATTTGACCTGTTCAAAAGAAGTATTATTGCTTCTAAAATATTAGTATTGATGACACGCTTGATTTATGCTTATTTTGATCTAAATGAAATGCTATAATCCTCTCTTTAAAAGCCACATACAAGAGAATGACTGCCATTAAAAAAAAAAAAAGAAAAAAAGAGAAAAGGCTGCATGACGGTCCGTTTTTGGTGTAGTACTGTTAAAGCCCCCATGCTGTGATCCCCAGCCCTGTGTTACAGTGGTAGCGTTTAGTCTAGTCAGACTATTTAAAAAATATTAAAAGTAAAGACTGAATAATTCAACTTTATTATTAGATATATAATGATATAATACCAATAATGACAATTATTATTATTATTTTATAGTGATCAGAGTATATTTTTCTTTACAAGACTACTTAGCTGAATTTACATGGTTAACTCAACGTTGCACTTTTAATGCACTTGGTCAGAGCCTAAAGTGTTCATGGAGTGCTATGGGATTTCATCTTTTGGCATTTTTCTTCGGGTTTTTATGCCTTTTTGTGTCTGCTATACTGCAAGACTTTGTGGCTGTGATTTTGTACAAGTTGTCTCAGAAGGGTGAGTAATTTTTTGCCTTGAAATTGTTTTTAATTTCAAAATTGATGCAAATGCTAAGACCCAATTTCACAGTTAAGACATGGTCCTAAGATTCTGAAATAGCTGTGCTTTCCTTTACCCTAGAAAAATATATACATATGTATATCTTTACCTGTTTAGTTAGAAATTTAGGTAAAAAAGTAAGCATTTTACAGACAGCCAGACTGAAGTCTTGGAGTGTCCTTGAATGCATTTTTGGTTGGTTTTGATAGTTCAGGGCTGCTTGCTTAGTATGTTTAAAGTTTGGAATATAAAACGTAGCTATTTTGAAGAAGCAAGGGTTATTGAGTAATGTGGCTTATGCCTAGTAGCATTCATTTTTATCTTTTAAAGTAGAATTTTGTATGGATGTTTTTGCTTTAAAATACCCCTAAAAAACCCTCCTCCCATTTTAGCTATGGATTTCTTACAAACTCAGTCAATGTGAGGTTATTCTGTAAATTTTTAATCAGCTCTGTGAGAGAGGTAGTGCATAGACCAAAATATAGGGGTAACTCAGAGAATTAAAATGCTTGTCTTGCACCATGCTAATTTTTCCCGGGCTAAGAATGAAACACGAAGGCTGTGTCATCTGCTCCATCAGAAAGTGGAGTAAAAGTGAAAATTCTACAGGTTTCTTACTACTTCTCCCACTTCCTTCCAAGGTTGCTTGTGAGGTTCAATAGACTGATAACCTGAGGGAGGCGGTAGAGCCAGTACCATGGATTTTACTCTCAGATTTGTTTTTGACCTCTGGCTTGGCCAGATGAGATTGTTTTACCTCTGTTTGCATCTGTTTTTCTTCCCATTCTTGGTCTTGCTTGTCACTTCCAACAGGAGACTCTTTGGGACAGGAGTTATTGTGTATTCTGAGTTTAATAAAGTACCTGGAATGGTTGGTTAAGCTGCAGTACAAATTCAGATTAATAAAAATAAATGTCTGGGTGAAATTATCTGTGTGAAGCTAATAAAGAGCAAACTCTTAAATCTGAAACTATTTTGAGAGACTTGTTGCAATCCTTACTCAGTGTCATGGTAAACTCTCAAAAATAGTTTAGAAGAGTTGCTCAGTGTAAAGGACTGTTCATCTCTTTCATCTTCCAAAGGAAATCCCAATTCTTGATAGCTGTGCAAGTTTGTTCTAAAAAAATAATTGCTTAAATGATTATACTTGATGCAGCTTCACTTTGTTCCTTTGGCTGTTCACAGGGCCTTTGTTCCCCATAGGAATTGACATAATGTGAGTATGTAAGTAATTAAAGTTCACAAAAAAATTATATTTCTCTTTCCCCTGCCCCACAGGGATTACTTCACACTCCAATAGTTAGTGTCTTCTGTTTTTTCCAGTTTAGCTTTCCCACTCATCCAGCACTGACAAAGCCAGTGATCCTTTTGTGCTGGATGTCCCTTCACTTCCAATATCTGTCAGTCTTGCTCTGCAGCCAGCTGAGTGCCCTTTCTTCCCAACAGCCTTCTGACTGGATTTTATACCTAAGTGTAAATTAGGGAATTTTTTTAGTAAAATGACAGACACAAGGGCAGCTGAGTATTGGAAAAAAAAATTAAGTATGCGGATTTAAGAGAATAAACAGCACTGAATTTCAGATCTCGTGACTGTGACATCCTGTGATATTGTTGAGTCAGCAAGCAGTGTGTTAGATGGTAATTTCTGTGCTTGTGAGTAGTGTGGCTTTTGATTAGAAACTGATTACTTGCAGTTGGAGAGCGTTCCAAGTATCAATGCAGGCCTTTCTAAGAATATATTTTGATAGAAGAGATCTATTTAAATGTAGAGTATTTGTAACCTATGCAGTGGAGTCGAGGACAGACCAATGAAATTTCCAAAGGAAAAAGTAGTGGTTGGTACCAATTTGTGTCTCTCTGCATCTGAAAATGGAAAGTTTTGGAGACTAGATTCCAAATATAATCGGTTATAATAATAGGTTGCTATTATTTCTTGTCAGCTGTCATAACTATGAAAATCCAACAATGTTTTATCAGAAACTAAAGGTAGAATAATGCTTCTATAAATATCTTCTCTCCTTTTAACATTTGTCCTGGAAACAAAGCTTAAAAACAAGATCCATGAGATCTACTAAAAATTGTACTGGTCTGCTTAGTTCATGAAGGAATTTCTAATTATAGTATGAAAGAATGAGAAATTGTAGTTTCTGTGAGTGCTATTTGACCTGCATGAAAATTGGATGTGCAATTTTGTAGGAGGGAGACTGTAAGTTCAAAAAAGATAATAAAAGTACCTAGCAGCAGTTTTGGCTGCTTGGACATGAGCCAGCTGTACTCTGTTCCTAAATCTGTTCAGGGTCAAGAATCGAGGGGGCTTGACCAATCCACAGCCCATCTTGTAAAACTACAGCCTGAAGCAAACACTTTAAAGAAGGCTTGACACTTTCTAAAGGTTATAACGAGTAAATAAACCATCAAATTACTCCTCTTTTATTGTTATGGTAGTCTTTTTTTATAAAAACACTTAAATCCATGTAGTCCTAAGGCATCTAATAAAAAATGAACACTTTTAAGGTTTGGTGGGTTTTTGATCCCTCATCAGAGTTATGTACAATATTGTTCTCCTAACAAAAACATTTTTGTCTTATTAAACAGCTGATAGAACTTCTAAAAAAAAAAAAAAGTGCTTCACACAAGTTTTAGAAGCTTTCAATTCAAAATGGGTAAACTATGAATGTCCTTTGGAAGATGTAAAAATGATGTATAAGGTTTATAACTGTTGGCGATTTCATGTGAGAACATTTTTATCATGTAATTGTCATTCTCAATTTAAGTGGTTATGATGTTTACTTTCTCAGCCATAGTTACATACATGCACATTTTTGATAGCTTCCAGATACACCTTTATAATTTGGGAGTAAGTTGGAGGAGTATTGTTCACTTAGAACTTTGCTCCTTATCCTCTTAAGTATTCACAGCAAAGGGCTCACTTAAAATGGAATTTAAGGCCATTTTCTTACCTTTTTGAGAAAGACTTTTGACAATATTGCATCATTTTCGTAGCATTTGTTGCTTAGTAACAGAAAGGATTGAAGATGACACCTTTTTAAAAGCTTCAAGCCAATCTCATTTTATCACTCAAGGGAAATTAGGGGGATCTATTTTCCTTCAGTACTTATAGAATAGTACCAGAAAAAAAACCCAAAACATTGCAACTGTGCAGCACTATTTGTTAAAGCAGAACTGGGAATCACTGATAATCTTTTAAGTGCTCTTTTTTTTTTTTTTTACCATAAGTCATATGAAGTCTTTAGGTCTCTTCTCCACCTGTATTCTACCAGTATATATTAGAGCAGCAAAAGCTTAAGAACTTTTCTCTGGTTCTCTGTGAGCCAAATTTTAGTTTTAAATACCTATTCAGTGTTTTATGTGTAAAATTCACATGAGAGCTGAGGCCTATATTTAGAATGTCTGCAAGAATCTTGAAATGCTTGGGAGTAGCCTCCTGTGGAAAGAAGTTAACTTCTCTACAGACATGTGCCTGTAAACTGTCTGCTAATCAAGGCAGTCAGTTTTGACCCTAAAACCCTATAAAAGATGTCCATGTCAAAAAATTATTTTGATTGACTTGAGACATATTTTACAGTTTTGGGTTTTTTTTTTTTTTTTGATAAAAAGTAGGACTATGAATCAGATATTGTACTAAGTGAGAAAGGGTTGCAAAATCTTCAACACTGTTTTGCATCAATTGTTAAAGTGTTATAAATATCCTTGAATCAGAAACTTGGAGACCTTATTCCTACTGGGCTTCAGAAAGAATTGCAGTATATTTTATAGCCAAAAAATGTTGTGTTCTCTCCTTCACTTGGGAAGGAGAAAGAGCCTCCATTTGTTCTTTGTGTGTCAGGAAAGGTGTTGCTTCATCCAGACATGGGATGTTTTCAGTCTCATGTCAAATAATAGTTGTTCATGGTATTGCAGTTTGGTAGAATTGTACTTAAACCCCAGTATTAAGAGAATGAAACTTTTGAGACCTTCTTTTATTTTTTTATTAGAGAGAGCCATGGCCTTTTTTTCCCAAGTTGTGACTGTTTCCTAAAGGTTCTAACCTAGTATGAGGTGTGAGTCACTTCAAGAGTACTGGAATTTTTCCAACAAGTAAGATTGTGAGATTTAAGCTATAGTGAAGTTGAACTCAAAAACAGCATAAAATTTGCACATAATGTGTCAAAATGCACAGTTCAAGTATTGGGAGTATTCTTTTACCCTCACACAGCTTGGCCCTTGCTGGACCTCAGTAAATGTTATTAGTGCAATGATTCATCAAAGAGAAGTCAGGCTTACCTTAAAGTGGTGGCTTTCCCAAGCTGGCCATCAGTGTGCAGGGCAAATGCAGGAAAGCAGCCTTCTGAAGGTCAGTGGCACATTAGTGCAGCTCTCCAGGTCCTTGAAGGATATTCATTCTTTTGACTATGTGCAAAAACAGGACAGTGCTGAGTTGCTTATGACATGCATCAAAAACCTGAATATTGTTTTTGCGGGAAGTCGTGACTGTTCATAGGGGAGTCTTTTGTTCTTCCTTTTTTTTGAGTATTGGATTTGTGAAGGAAGGCCAGTGCTCATAAAAACTGGACTCCAAAGGGAAGCTGATTCCTGTTGAGAAAAATTAACTTCAATACCAGAGTGTTTCAGGAAAATTCACGTAAATATTTAGCAACTGTGATTATCAGAAAGTAACTCTCATTTGTTTTCAAAAGTAATAGTTGGATTCTTGACAAAGTGCTTCTGCAAGAACAGGATCTGTAACACATCTTCCTGCTATTAGTACCATTTGTGGATCATGGGGGAAACTTTGGACTTCAGTAATGGTCTTCTCAGATTTTCTGGTAGCTCTGGTAGCTCATCTTACCAGAAATATGTGTTGATTACCCATGATTCTGTTTCAGTTTCTTTTGGTAGGTCAGAAGGCTTCTTGGCATAGAAGATAATGATAAATATTTCACTTCTTCCGTAATGAAGAAGTAATCACTGACACAAAACTTTTCAGTTGTCCTAGGAGATGTCACAAAGAATAAAGATACAAATGCTTTGAGCTGAATATTTAAGGTGCTACAAAGAGTCTGAGTCATTAATTATGATTATCTGTATGCACTTCTGCATCTCACTGAATTTCACTTCATTTCAGTGTTTTGACTTTTTTATGTTTGTTTTTAACTAGGAAACAGAAACTAATTATGAAGACCAAATAAACAAAATTGTTATAGAGAAACAGGAACTTGAATGGCAGAAGGTAACTTTCCTGTGTGCTTTTAGTGTTTTACCTGCTGAGATTTAATTTTAATATGTTAATATAAATTGTGATTTGTTACAATTCCTCTTTTTAGAGCTATTTTTATTTCAATAGTAGAATGTTCTAGCCAGTAGCTTATTACTTAGTCATGAACATGTGTAGCTTTTCTTTTGATTTGGATTGTGCCCATTTTAGCAATGTTTTTAACAAGAGAATATAATAATATTTGGCATGACTTTGCAATCTTCAGTCAAAAGAGATGGAAATACTGAAGCAGGGGGACATTTAGTTGAATCTGAGTCATGTTGACATGTGGGAGAAGCTGTGTAGCAGCTTCTCTGTATTGTGTTTGGCTTGGGGAAGTGCAAATATCAGTGCAGCAAACAACTTCACTTGCAATATTTTGGAAGTGGACATTTTTCCAAAAAGTTATTTTGAACGTGAACTTGTATGTTATCCATACTCAGAAGTAGTCTGTCAGCTTTTAAATGTTGGAAATGAAGTATTCAGTAACCTAAATCTAACATTCTTCCCAGAGTTAGGGCTCCTGAGGTTATGCTTTGCTAGGAAATGCATTCCCTTCTTTAATACAATCAAACCTATGACCCCTGTCACTAGGGCATGAGATAAAAGGCTGCACTCCGTATATTTTACAACCCCAGAAAAAACAATAATTTCAGCTCTATCCTTGATCTTGGGATATTTAACATCTTAGTTGTAAAGGAAGGCTAGTTCATCTTGAAGTTCATCCTAACCATCTTAAATTAATAATCCTAACTCTGTGCTTTTCTTTCTTGAAAGATATATATGTGCACACAGAAACAGGAAACATTTTATATTTGTAAAAGCAAGAGTGCTTTCAATTTGTAACCCTTCTTTGCTTTTCTTAACCTAGCTTTGCAGTGCTTAATATTCTGGGTTCAAAAGGGAGGATTTCCACCCATTTTAAGACCTTCACAGCAATTTAATTTACCACTCTAAAGGAATGGGACTTACAGGTAGTGAGGTGAACTCTGTTCCTGTACTTTGCACTTAACATTGGCACATGGCAGAGCTGATCGATGAGTGGTAGATTTTGGGAACTTCATGTGAACAAATGTTCTGGAACTTCAAAGGATCAAGCTAATACAAATTTCCAGTCCTGGAGACTGCAGTAAGATGAAAATTCTAAGTATGACATTTAAATTGAATTTGTGACCTGATTGTTTCTGAATGCAGAATCATGTTAACCACAGCAGTAGTTCAATAAGTAGACATCTTCCTCTGGTTTATCAAAGATTCTGTTTTACCATTTCCTTCATGGATTTCCCTCTCAGTCAACATTTCTGTTATTCATTTTATTTTACCTTAAGTTTAGCTAACTAGTTCGAAATAAAGACATTATTTCAGCTAAGTCATAATTCAATATGACAACTTGTCTACATTTTATAAATATACTGCTGCTGCTCTTGAAAAAAATACACTCAAGCAGGGAAAACAGAATAACTGGAGAATATATTCCTTTAAATCTAGCGGGTATACTCATACTTGTATAACATTACAATATCAAAGCTAATTTTTTTTCATATTTAAAAAAACTCTGCTTTTTTCTTCAGTCTCAATGTATCACACACACATGGCATATATGGAAAATTTCTTCCAAGCCTTAATTTCTGACAGAGATAATATAATCATTTTATCTGATAGTCTTGTGCATAAGGCTTGTTAGAAAAGGAATATTTGTAGACACTGCCCTGTCTTTTTGAAAATAAAATACCTCACTTGAATATACAGTACAAGAAAGTAGTATGTTATAAAGAGTTCAGCATTGGGGTTTTTTTCCATTACGTCTGTGATAAAGTTATATAAAGGATGACTGTTTAATAAAACCATACTGATAACTACATAATTTATTCCATGATATTGCATTGAATTCCTGTATTTTATAGTGCCATCTTAATTTGGCAGTGCTGTGAATATAAGATTTTATTCCTGTGGCGAGCAGGTGATTTTTTTGTGCCTGCAGTACTTTTCTGCCTTGCTATTTCACATGCCTGTCACGCCCTGGAAAACCTGTCCTTGGACACAGGGCTGAGGGACAACCTCAGGAAAACATTTCTCAGGACTTTTATGTGCTTCTGAATATTCATTTATGTACTGTGCATTGTTTTTTACACACAAATCAAAGCTTCTCTACTCCTCTTATGATGAATTCATAAGTATGGGTATGGAACATGTTATCTCCACAGATTCCTGTCTTCTATCAAGAGGCAACAGCTCTCACTTGTACAATGTGAAAGCAACACCAACTTGCTGGAGAAAACAGCAATTTTGGAAGGGACTTTATGTTTAAAAACTCTCAATTTCTATTAAGGCAGATGAAGAAATTGGACTCCTTGTGTGTGAAACAGATTTTCAATTTATTTTCTCCCATTCATTCTTTTTAATAGTCTCAATTAATTTTTGTGCAGTCATTACTGTATTGTTTCCTGTTACACAGTAATATTTCTAAGCTAAGCACTCATCTGTATTTTGAGATATCTGTTCAAGGATAGAGCCTCTTAACTACTTTTACCTAATATTTCAGTGTTTAGAACTGAAAAAACCTGGTCTTCCATGCATACCTTCCATGGTAAAGGTGAAGTATCTTATAGAGAAGTACTGTGCTTAAAGATGTTGGAGGTTTCCATCTTGTGGAGTGTAGTATTAGTCTATGAGAATATGATATGAAATAATAATACAAAAAAAAGTACATCTTCACTCATTTTCTTGTTTTTATGGATGGAAATAAAACCAGGCTGGAGGGTGATAAAAATCTCATACTATTGCCTTACACTTAGTTATTTCTGGCTTCCTTCAGCTCTTTCAGGTAGCTTGTTAAATGACTAAAATTTAACTATAAACAGAATAACAGAGAGTTAGTTTTCAATGGGATTCTATTTTTAATGGGTATTAAAATTCTGTTGTAACTACCTGGACCAAAGTTCTGTCAAGCTGGCAGTGGATGTGTATTGTTTCCGCAGGCTGATGGGATGGGTAGGAGTTGCTTACTGAAGTCCTAGTAAAAGGTCTGTGTTCCAGAGAATTACAGGAGAAAGGAGAACTGTTACCTGTTAAGAATGAAAGGGAAGCTGCTACAGAAAAGCAATTACCAGTTAAAAAATGTCTTTTTTTGTCTTCAGGGTTTTTTAGTCAGTTGCATCTTTGTAAAAATATTTAACAATAAGCCAGCCTTTTCTTGAAATACTTTATATATGATTTGCTCTGAGATAATACTTAACTCACACTGTTGTTATTTCACATGAGCAGGAAACTTTGCAGCATCAGACTGACACACTGCAACAACAAAATAAAGAAGCTATGGCAGCTTTTAAAAAACAGGTAACAGGTAAAGCCTTTGGCTTTGTGGGATTTTAAAATATGGTGGCATCATAGCAAGTTATCAGTTGGTATGAAAATATTTTTCTATTGCATATAAAATGTTAGAATATACAGCTCAAAAAAAAAAAAAATCAAAATCACATCCTTTCTTCTGGCCACACCATTATGCTTGTATTTTGGCAGTTCTTTCCAGATGCCCCTCCTCCTGGAATTTTTCGTTTTTATATTTCAAAAACCTCCTAGAGAAGATCATGCTTCTTCTAATGCTTTCCCTATTCTGTTTTGCTTTGTTTGGTTTTCCCCTTGCGTGACTTCTGCAAGGGTAGATTCATAAACCATGGTAAAAGACCTACACAAATTACCCTGCTCAACATTTCAAAGTGTGTTTCACTCTTGCATTTTATTCTCCATATTACAGTGAGCAAACACAAGTGCTGAGAGACCTTGCAGAGAACATTCACAGGAACTGAAACTGTTGCCCATGGTGATGAATTTGTCATTAATGCTGCATCACAATCATGTCACACAAAAAAGAAATTGACAAGCCATTAGGTTTTTTCCTTGAAAAAATTTGAGATTTACAAACTTCTCCTTGTAGAACTGTAGAGTTCTACAGTTCCTATCAGTAGAAAACCCAGGAATTATACTGTGCAGGTTAATATAACTATGTTGTCTTGTTGAATTGCATGAATAAAATTATTGCCATGTGCTGTTCTGATTTTTTTGTTTTGGTTTTTTTTAATGTGACTGACAACCAAGTTACAGGCAAGAATGTTTGCCATGGAAGAAGAAAAGGTACTGTACAATTACTTGTTGTTTGTCATCCAAAGAAGTGCATAAACAAATGATAATTATATAAAATATACCAAGCATATCCTAAGTATAAACTAAGTCTATTGCAATTACATTATGTTTTTTGTTACGGCCTTTGCCATAACAAAAAAAGAGCCATAGACTTGATGAAAGCCAAAGGCTTGACGAATAGAGTCAGAAGTGGTGAAAATGCACTTATTGTGTTTTCACTTTTCTTTTTATAGCAATATTTATCTACATTTTAAAATTATTTAGCTGAATTATTCACCAATGAATTGTTCTGTTATAGCGGAGTAACACTTTATTTTCGTAACATTCTTTGATAAATTCTTATTGTAAATGCATTTATTCTGCCTAAATCCTGAAGTACAGCTTTTGTTGAAAGGGAAAATACCAACTTGCTGTAGAAACAAAAGAAAAAGAAATTGATGGACTGAAAGAAACATTAAAAGCATTACAGGTAAACTATTGCTTTTGTAAAATAACGTTTCTTTAAATGCAAGTGTTTTGGTTTTAGTTTTATACTAGTAAGAAAATAGTTCATTTCAAAAGGATCTTTAGGGCCTTGTTTCATCTTTCTAGGACACCTCACTTTGTAAAACTGAGTTTATGTTCTAGTTTTCAGTGACTACTTTAACTTTCCAGCTCATGCTCTTTTCCTCCAGAAGAAGACTCAAAAGTCCAAACAGTGTGTGAAATGTGCTTTCTTTTCATTTCCACCGTCTTCCTCTTCCTTCACATTCTTGTTTTCTTACTTCACACCTGTCTGGAATCCCTGGTTTTGGACTCCTAAACAGAACTAAGTATTCACCCCAGGCCTCCACCTTGCAGTGCTGCCTGTATTTTTCACTGGTTTCCTCTGTTTCACTGGGAGGTTTCTGTATTTACACTTGGCCTAAGACCAAGGCAGATATATTGAAAATGGATCACTGGCATTGCAATGCATTGCCAGATTTCAGGTGTTATCAGGAACTAATTATTTTTCCACTCAAAACTGAGTGGAATAATAATTCTGTTGAGAACAAAATGGCTCTAATGGATTATTACTATGATTTTGAAACCCGTGTTGGTTCTTATTAACATTCTCTTATAATGGAATGCATTCACTTGGTAGCAGACTGTTTGTTTTATCATTTAGTTAACACTGAATGTACTTTAGGAGCAAAAGAAATTGATTTTTATGCCTGGACTTCTGAGCAATAACTGTAAGGATTTTGTTGCCTTGCTCAAACCTTGGCATAGCACAGATGATGTACAATATCCATCCCTCCATGGTCTGCTGAACATAATATGTGGACAGCAAGAGTAATGAAAGATCCCACTGGCCTTTCTTTTGTAAGATGAACCACAAATTAAAAAAAAAAAATCTTAAATGTTGAATGTTCCCAGATCAAGCATTTGTGTCACAGTACAGTTCAGATCTAGGAAATTCTGCTGTGGCTTGAGGAAGCAGGAGGTCACAATGGACATGTGCTCACAGGGAGATGGTTTGGAAATGAGCCTGATACAACAGTGAAGAATTTTTAATTCGGTTCTGTGTTCTTCTCTGTTGAGTCAGAACCCTGCCTTAAAATGATTTTTCTCTAGGTTTTTTCTTAGCAATAATATTTTCTGTATAACATTTGTACACTCTGGGTTCTTTGACATTACTCTGTTTTTCCCTCTTATACTTAGGCATTATGCAAATCGAAATACTCTGTCAGTGAAGTATTAAATAATGTTAATATCTTCTAATGTCAGCCTTATATTATTAAAGCATGTGAGATTGTTACATTATATCTTTACATACTACCATTTAGAATATCTACTAAGATATTTTTGTTGTTTTTTCCAACAGGGAACACATTTCTATTCCTGTAGGAGTTGAGGGAATACTTTCATTTCTATCTTTGTCTTCTCTATTTCTAAGGGTCTAGTTTACACACTCTGGTCTATTTGCATGTTATTTTTATGATGCCTGTCAGAAAACACAAGGATTTATGCACTTTTTCAAAACTCCTCTAGTAACAAATCAGTGTAAGGTGGTTTTATGTAATTCAAATATTGAAGTAACATTATGAAGTAAAGTGAACCTAATAATACATGAAATTGTGCCCTCAATAATTCAAAACCAGCATTACTGTATTGGATGGATTTATAACAAATGCAATTAAATCCTTGGTATAAAAATACTTAATTATGCAGGTTGTTGTCAGAAAAAATGTAAGTACCATTTAATGAAAAACTCTCTGTTTTACAGATTTCAAAATACACTTTACAAAAGAAACTGAATGAAATGGTAAGAAAATAACGAAAGTGAAAAAAGAAGGAAAAGCTTTAATGAAAATAGTATGCTTGGGGTATAATCCACTACTAACTGGCTTTAATACTTAAATGATATATGATAATTACTACAAGTAACCCAAAGAGGTATCAGCTTCAAATCTGAAAATCTTATAAATGCAATGTTTTTAGGTTTTTATAGTGTGATAGCTACTGTTCAGCATGTGGTATTTTTTCCTCACTGAATTAAAGTAGAATGGGTACATTTGTTCTCTTTATAGATTAAAGATTTTTTAAGATACTATCATTTAAATAATGTAATTTTATTAGTCTGATAGGATCTAGGATAATAATCTCAAAAAGTAATAGAGAATTCCTAGCAGTTCTTGGTTTTGTTTTTAAGAAAAACTGGTGATTTTCTTCTCAGTCTTTTTAACTCCTCAGAATTAGTTCTTAACATCAGTTTCCCTGAACAGTTTAGATTTCATCCAGTGCAGCTCACTCCCTTTGACACAGGGAATAAATTTACCCGGAGTGACAGCATAGTGGCTCTGAACCCTGTTGTCTGTTTTAGGAAGTGAAAGAGTGAGCCACAGAAACATTGCTAGGCTTGATTGAATAAATGCTGTGAAAATTCTGCTGCTGCTCAACTGGAAAGAATAAAGATAATATTGTCAGACCATTACAAACTGTGATTTTAATTAAGAAGCTCAAAAAACTAGAGTCCAGTTTAGCTTTAAGTACCATGACATTTGTACTGAAAGTCATCTTCAACGCTACAGTGGTTTTACACAAAATATGGTGAAATTGAATAATGTGCCCTCTGACCTGGGAGATAAGGCTACAAGTTAAAGATCAAAGGCAACATAAAATGTGTTTTGTCTTACTTCACTTTTAACTTGTATTTATTCCTAAAATGCTGATCTGAAAATGTGTTGAAAATACACAGCATAACTGGACTTTCATTTAGGTCACTTTACTTATTATCTTTCTTCATAACTTACAAGCTCAGTCTCCCATATGAACGAGAATATTTAAAGGACAACACCTTTTCTTTAAGCTGGAAATGCATCTATGCCACTTAAAGAAATACATTTCTTATGTTCATAAACTTTTCATTAATTGATCATTTGAATATTTTGAAAGCATTTGCTTTGATACAGAGTATGGTAATTTAAAATGCTATTGAGCGGGGGCAAGATGCTGGAAATCCTCTTTTGCATGTAGCACTGAACAGAACACCTGCAGTTGGGACTTACTTTGGAAAATGCTCTGATATGAAATGATGAAAACAAAATACCCCACAAGGTAAACAAAAGGTGATTTTTTTCCTATAACCTTTTGCAGGAGTGGGCTAATGCAGTTTTAGACCAGGTCAAATTCTACCAACTTTACTCCCTGAGTGGTTGCGCTGAAATAAGTGGAACATTCAAGGGATCAAAGGAGTAACTGCCCATGCAGACTCTTGGTCATCACCAATGGCAAAGTGTTTAAAAATCAAGTGGATGAAATTCTGAACCAATCATTTATCTGAGACCCATTCCTATTTCAATTTTGTTAAAGACACATTAGATGGTTCTCTGGTGTGTGTTTTGAGAGTGAGCAGATGTGCTGCTCAGTTTATATCTGGTACCTTAGAAACCCTGCCAGTCAGTGAAGGTGCTTCTGTGTGTGCTGGGGACTGGGTGTGCCTTACTGATGTAGCTTTTTATTCTGTTTTTGTTCCTTTAGTTCTGTTCTTTTAGAATGGCATATGCAATGTTAATACTTGACATAAACACCATGTTTTTGCATGCTAAAGTTTATGCAGTTAAGTTTATGCAGTTAAGTTTATGCAAAAATTGTAGTGCAGATATAATTCTTACCATATATGCAATAATTTTGATATAGTGGAAGGTTTTGTTTTGTACTGAAAGACAGTATAGAGACAAATAAAGGATTTTTTTTGTCTTTTATTATTTATTTGTCTTTATTATTGTCTTTTTCCCCTACAATTAAAGTGTTGATTATTGCATGCAGTGCAGTTGTTTTGCACCTCACTGCATGTGGACAGTAGCACTCATGCAGTCAGGAGGGATTACCACAAAGCCAGTTCAGTTGATAGAATAGACTTGAGTGTGAGCTCTGTATTGTATTTCCTTTCCTGCTGCTGAAATTAGGAAGTAACTGGAGGAAAATGGTCAGGTGTTGGTTTCCTGACAGATGATGCACTGGAGAATGCCAGGACTCTGCACGTGGCATCTGTTCTTGTCTTCCCTTACTGTTTTTATTGGAAACTAAATGTATGTGAAACCATTGAGTGAAGCTGCAGTCAGATGGTCTAGGCTAATTAAACCCTACCACAGAAAAGAGGGAATTTAGACCTAAATAATCCACATCATTCCCCGTGGATAGGGAACTGTGTTCCCACCTGAACTGTGCCCAGGAACTGCTGGCACAGTCAGGCGAGTCCTACTTGGCAAAGGCCAAAATGTGTCAGAGATATTTTAACAGTACAGGCATTTCCTGAGAACTTCCCTGCCACCATTTAGTTTTCTAATATAGGTGTAGTTGTCAAATGAATGAAAAAGGAATCACTGCAAAATGTTAAATAAACTTTAAAAGTTGGTTTGTTTGTAGTCTAGGATGTTTTTGTTTCCTTTCTGCATCTTTTAGGAGTTTGCCTGTAATCATACTATGTTGTTTAAAAACACAGTGAGGAGGCAGTGATACAGTAAAAATTCAACCCAATTATTTTTAAGTAGAAAAATGGTGAGAACTGGAGGAACTGTTGTGAAAAAAATTCCTATTTCAAAGATCTACAGTTGGTAGTGCTTTACATAATTTTCATGTGATCTTGCCTTTGGTCTCCAGGCCATTACATCTCCTTTGTTTCTCTGACACTTTCACCTCCCAGTTACCACCTTCTGCTTCACTGAGTACCTCTGACTAGTGACTCCATTTCCAGAATATCTTTGAGATATGAGCCATTCCCTCTTTGTGTTTCTGCAGTCACCCACTTGACCCTGAGCTATTTCTCGGGTCTAGTTCCACCAAGAAATCATTGTGCCTCAACAAGCCATATGGCCACAATCAATTCCACTCCCCATCCCAGCTTATCTTTATTACTGGTGGAGGGCAGGGCAATAATTCCTGGTCTTGCAGTATCAGACATAAGGAAGAAGAACCAAGATTCTGTGGGTCTCACTCCAGCTCCAGGGTCATCCACTCCCTATCCTGCAGTGTCTCCTGATGTTTCTTGATTGGCTTCTATGGAAGAATGTTTTACAGCCTTTTCACTGGGAGGAGACAAATCACATACTCATGCTTTTATTTCTCTGTGCATTAAGCCTGGAGAGCAGCCTGCCATCAAAAATGATATTTAGGCAAGTGTTAAGCTCTTAATAAAACTTGCAGATAGAGTAGGCCAGTTCCTTTTTCCCCTGAAAAGAGCCCTGTGAAGTAGCAAAGCATATTTCAACTTTTTGAGAGAGGAGGAGGGACTAACACTATCTTGCTGGCTAAAGAAAGGAGTTGGGATAACACTAAGAAAAAAATCCGTATTAAAAACTGCAAAACCCCTCAGATCTTGCTACAAGCTGTTCAAGTCTCAAATTAGGGCTGTCTCCCTGTTCATTGATCTCTTAGAATAAATATACCTGAGGAAACTACCAGGAAAAACAAAATCTTTCTTTTTAATGTTTTTATTATAAAATTAACCTCCTAGCATTAGTTAAGCACAGATCTTCAACAGTTAATTTATGTTCAGAAAAAAGAGAAAGTATAAGAACACTTTCAACCTACATTCCTTCCAGTGATTTCTGTAGTGGTGGTGTTTCTTTACCAGTGCTTCCATTATGACTTTCCATTTGCTGTAGTGTGTTTAATTTCATACCTTATAAAACATGAGAAATTTGTATTGTATATCCTGTTTTGCTAGTCTTATGGTGGTCATTTCATTTGATTACTATCAGCTTTTATTATCCTCTGATGCCTGGGCATGTATTGCATTTGTTACTGTGTGGAAATGGAGCCTTGCCAAAGCCAAACAGACTGGATCAGATGCATCCTGGTGTAACTTGAATTTACACACAGGAATGAATTTGGCCCAGTCCATTTTAATTGCTGTGTTGCTCTACTGTAGATTAGAAATAGATTAGATATCTAAACAAATGGTTATCATTTCTGAGGAATTAATTTAAGCTATTCTCTTCAGAAAAATTAGTTTTAAAATTCACCAAATTTTGTACCTACAAAACTGTTAACAAAAATACACTATAAAGAAGAACACAAAAATCTTACTCTTATAAGGATAACAAAAAAAAATTGTCACTGAACAGTTTCCACAAAATGAGAGGGATTGGCAAAATTCATTAATATTTGTATTTAATAGCAACATGGGTTTCTTTGTGGTATTACTTAGGCCAACATGTGAATAGAAGTAAAAAAAGTGTCAGGTGCTTACAAAAGTAGTTAGAAATTTCCCATACACATACAGAAAGTGATTTTGTTATATTTGAAATTATTAGAACGGCTAATTGATATTGAGGAATTAAGAATTACTCACTGAAAGGTTATTTATATTTTTCTGGGAAGCATGGGGTATTAATGTGCATTAGTCTCACTAATCTAAATCAAAGTCATCTCTATTCTAGAAATAGTTGATGCACTTCTGATTTTTAGCAAGTGTGTTGAAATTCTTTTATTTAGGTATGTCAAGTAAACAAACGCTCTCCTAATTGCCCTTGGCTGTGTCATTTTTTGCAAGCCCAGGACTGGAATGGATGAAGCTGTCAGGAGTCTCTTGAGGTGGCTCAGAGCAGGGTCAGTGGAGCCAGTGTCACAGAGCCAGGGCTGTTGGTTTTTAGTGTCTCCTTGGATAGATTCTGTAGCCTGCCTGCGCAACCTGTTCCAGAGTTTGCTCACCCTGACAATAACTGTCTTTCCCCTCAAGTTTAAGGGAAATTTTTTGTCTTTCACTTTGTGTCAGTGAGCACCACTAAAAGGAGTCTGGCTGTGATTTCTTTATTCCTTTCACACACTCAGCTCCCCTGGTATATACACATTTATGAGCTCCTCTCCAGGCTGAGTTGTCACAGGTCCCTCAGCCTCTCCTCAAATGTCAGATGCTCAAATCCTTTGATTATCATGATGATTCTGTCTCTCTTCCTGCTATTTGGAAGTGGGAAAGGTCGTTAGATATGAAATAGACAACTGAAAGATTCTGGGAATGATTTCGCATTTATGCTGTTAAATTCAAAAGCACCTGGAGAGCTACTTACTATCCTTAAATGGGTGCTTCATTTATATTCCTAACAGGATCAAAAATTGCAGATGCACTTAACAGCAAAAGAGGAGCATCATAAGAAACTGAATGAAGTTGAGAGGTGTTATGCTACTATTGCATCTCGGTTTGGGATTGTGAAAGGTGTTCATGGGAAGCTAGAGCACAGTGGTATGTATGCCTTAAAAGCCTTCCAGCACTTGCTTTTGACAACAGTCAGTTGGAGACACTTGAAAACTCAGAATAGCAGCTACCCCTATGCCAGGCATCAGATATATTGGTAGGTTCCTCAGTGCTCTTCGCTGATCCACTGCTGCAGTGGTGTGTGTGACCACACAGGAATTATATTGAGGAACTATCAAACAAACAAACAAAAAAAAAAAAACGCCCCCAAAACACCAAAAAAACCACTTCAAATACTGAATCTCGCTAAATTTTTTGTTTCTGCCTGAAATAAATTTTTTTTTTCAAATCTCATTTCAATGAACTGGTAAGATATTCTATGTATATTTGTGGTATTTCAGTATCTCAAATTACTTGTCTTCTATTTTTAAAATTTTAAATCCAGAACATTATTGGCTAACCAATGTCCTGCTGATTGTATTTCAAAGCTAGAGAGTGAGCACATGACTTTTGCTGAAAAAGAATTTTACCAGTTTGGACCTGCTTGTTGTTCTGGGGGGTTTTCCTAAATTGTATCAGAAGATAGCTGTTACGTTCATCAGTATTTCAATTTTAAAAGCACATATTCTCATTCAAAGCTGCAGAATTGCTTATGGTACTGTAAGGCTGTTATCCATCATTCCCCATGATGGACTGTCTCTAGCAGAAAAGGAGAGGCCATTCTGGGTGTCTGCAGTTCTTGTATGCAAGTGTCAGAAGACTATTGAGGAAAGTAAAGAAAAAAGATTAGGGGTGAAAAACTGAAATCAGGAAAGAGAAAAGGATGAAGGGGAACCTCAGAGGATCGAAATACAAAGATTGAATAGAGCTGTCTGAAAAAGTACAGGAACCAGTAAATATCTTCAGCTTTTCATTGTGGAATTTCAAGCAATTTCCCAGTGATATCTTCACCTGTATAAAGTTTGAGAGAAAATTCCCTCCCCTTTCAGCAGGAATAGAAGTCATTCTTAGAATTTTTTGCTGTGCTAGCCTCTGCTTTTTTTCTGTCTTCCATGGCCTATGTGCATGTAACTCTGTACATCTGTTAACTCAGTTATTAATTTGTTCTGTGGCCCATTATGTTCCGTGTTAGTCTGAAAATAACTAAATTCATCAGAAATTTACAAGAAAATCTTTAAAAAATAAAACCAAGATTAAAAGTCCTACTAAAATAACATCATAAGACACTGAAAATTAAATTACAGGTATAAAAGACAAGCCAACATACAGAAAAGTCTTAACTCGTTGTTTGAGGTATAGACAATTGGTACCACCTGGTATAATTCTCCAGTGTGGTATCAAACTACACAGAAAAAGTAGTTGAACTATATCTGCAGTTTTAGGTTTGTTTTTAAAGATAAATTATATGCACATATTGAAGTTAGAAATCAAGTTGTTGCTCAGATGTGAAATTATTTCTTAACATGCTTTGACTTTTTTTTAAAGTGCAGGAAGCCATCCAGCACAATAAGAAACTAGCATCAGTGAATAAAAGACAAGAGACTGAAATAAGTAATCTGAAGGAAGTAAGTACAGTGCACATTTCTGAATGGAGAATGATCCTTGTGGGTCCCTTCCAACTCAGAATATTCTGTGATTCTTTGGGTCTTCCAAAAGCTGCTGATGTAGAAGTAGTGGACAAGCAGCAGAACTGTTTTTCACTCCACGACTAATGGCTAAATTAACATCCACAGGCACCTCAGTTAAAACTGGAGCAGCTCTGAGAATTTTCTGTAACCTGTGAATTTTTATTTACCTCTACATTTTATTGCATTACATTACCTCTACATTTTATTTACATCTACAATGTCCTCCTTGTTTCTTGCTAATTATTAACCTCTCTTCTTCCTATGATGTGCTGCCTTTCCTCTCCATCTGTGAGGAAGGTAGCAGTGGTGTTTTCAGTGTAGTCAGAGGTACAACATGAAGAGCAGTTGCCATGGAGGCGAGCTGGTGGCTTGAACACGGGATAAAATGTGTAACTGAATCCCTCAAGTGGGAGAGTTTTGTGACAAGGCAGCTGAGACATCAGATTATGGTGATGGAAGTTGTCACTAAGCTCTTTTCTCTTGACTCTATGCAGAAACTCCTCTTTTGCCACGTACATTTTTGAGTTGCTCTCTTGAACACAGGTAATAGTGGAAAGAATAATATTCTTTTCCCTTTGAGCCATTTCCTGAGAGCTGACAAGAGAAAAACAGAAGAACATTCAAAAGTCAGAATTGTTCTGTAAACTCAGTATCTTTCCACACATCTCTTCTTTATATCTCCTTATCTTTTTATTTTCCTCCTTTTAATTTTTTTTCTCCTTTAGATTCTGTAATGATTTTATGTAGGGATCAAAAGCATAATTACCTCAACTTCTTGGCCTAATGTTAATCCCCAGTTTCCAGATTATTGCTTTGAATTACCGTGGAATCTTTGCCAAGTTTGTGAATGTTTTTGAAAACAAAAAAGGGCAGGGGGAGAAGATAATTTGTACATGAGGAAAAGGGACTATGACCATTTGGGTTGTATTGATCAAAAAATGTTTACCTCTCTTTGCCTGAAAAATGGGATTTCAAGGTACAGAAGTACTTGAAAATTCTCCCTGAATCTATTGTTGTTTCTTTTCCTCTTAAGAGCATGTAGCCTCTTGTTGTTAAGGTTCTTTGGAGTATGATTCCACTAAAAGCCAGACTTTATCTTGAAATATAGACATTTTGAGATTTTTTAAAATTTGTTTCATTCTTACCTTCTTTAGTGCTTTACTTAATTTTTATATTTATTACATGGAGATATTGTTGCCCCAGTAAAAATTAATCAGGAATTTAATTTGGATTTTTTTAGTTACATACTAGAATGTAACAGGCCAAATCTCAGTGTCAAAAAGATCAAGTTTTGAAGTGAACAAAGATTTCAGAACTCTTACCATCAGAAAAGCAGACTGAAATCCACAGTAACAGTGCAGCAGAACACTGGAAAAATGCTCAAATTAATTTCTATATCACAATTAGGTCTTACAGTATTTAAAAATGTTTATTTAGCTACATAATTCAAATGATAGGTTATATATAAAAACTGTATATATTTATCTGGAATATTTGATGGATGGAAGAGAAACAAAAAAATATTGGAAGGTGTCAGTGGGGATAAGTTTCCTCTGTAGGAAAACCATGGTTGTTGGGGTGCTGATATCATCGTAACTGAAGTCTGAGAGCAGCTTTGTCTGTGCATTGTGTACACTCCAACTGTGTAATTCCTTTAAAAAAAGGAAAATTATTTGCATGTGACAGAAACATCTGAAATGCAGCATATCTTTATTGTAGTACATTGTAAATAAAAAAGTGAGGAGTTTTAGAAATATTTCACATCACAGTAAATTGGATTCGTTGCTTTTGTTGAGAAACTAAGAATAATTAATTACTTAGCATTCTCTGAGGGTAAGTAATTTGAGAGGTAAGAAAACAGAAATGTTTAAGAAAATTTTACAAATTTATGAGTAACATAGGTGTGAGAGAGAAATTGAGATTTATGTACTCCAGCAGTCAAACATATTATTTGATCTACTCTTTTTTTCAGCTGTACTCTTGATTCTTAAGGTCATGAAGGGTTATGAATTTTAAATCAAATACTGTTAGATAAGCAGAAAAAGGGGGCCAACTGAAACTTAATCCAGCTTCCTCAGTTCAGCAGGAAATGCCTTTATTGTATTTATTTCTGAATTTCTTATTGGATTTAGTAGTTGACCATCTTATTCTGAACAGTCAGAACTGGGATATTTATAAGAATTTTGAAAAGGGATTACCAGGCTGTTTTCACTTGCTACATAGCTGAAAGAAGTCATGATATCAACAGCACAGTTTGGGACAACTTCTAAAGCTGGTTTTATCTGCCTTGGAGACTTGACTGACCTCTAACAGCTCTGACAACTTCTGGGTTCAGACTTCTTTCCTCTGTAGCCTCAGTGCTGGAATGGGAATGACTATCCATGGTACTAAAATCTTAATTTGGTTGTCAGCTCTTATCACAGCCATTACTTTCACTCAGACCTGGATGATCTCACACATTTGTTCTTAATGGGCATGTGAAGCTAGTGGAAGCTATTTAACATTTATGGATAAAAATAAACTAATCTCCAATTTTAATGAATTTGCAAGTGTGTTATGAAGGTGTTAAATATGTGCAACAGTAAAGTTTAGTGAAGTTGAGGTCTGTTCTGCATTTCACTCAGACCTGGATGATCTCACACATTTGTTCTTAATGGGAATGTGAAGCTAGTGAATGTTGTTTAACATTTATGGATAAAAATAAACTAATCTCCAATTTTAATGAATTTGCAAGTGTTTTATGAAGGTGTTAAATATGTACAACCTTGTACATATGAGTATATGAGTGAAGTTGAGGTCTGTTCTGCGAAGTTTTACTCTTCTGGAGTTTCAGGAAAGAAAGATTATTTAGAGAGGTTGTAATTTTCTCTTGACATTGCCTGCTTCAAGTCCAGTTCCTAAATTGTCATGTAATGGACTGTGGCAAAATTTCCTTTCAGTAACATTTGTTTTTGGATTTGAACATTTTGATATTCAGTGTGGTAGGATTCTTTTCAACCACTGTGAAAATGCTTGCACTGATATCTGGCCAAGGAGAAGGTTTCTGTCATTCTGCTGCTTAAAAAATAACTCTGCTGCTCAAGACCCAAAAGAGTAGAAAGAGGGTTGCAGCAGTCTGGGAAGAAAGCAAACAGATATATGTGTATCATTCTGCTGCTTAAAAAATAACTCTGCTACTCAAGACCCAAAAGAATAGAAGAGGGTTGCAGCAATCTGGGAAGAAAGCAAACAGATATAGGTGTCATTTTGAATACAGGTTAAGTTTTCCTAGGGTATCAGTCCTGGGAAGTGGTTACATCTGCCTGTGCTGGCTGCTTTTCCAGTCCCGCACCACTTTATGCTGGAACATGTATTTGGTGGCCTCAGGGGAGAGTGGAATTAATATTTTGTATTGAACTAAACTATATTTTACAAAAAAACCCCAACCAACCAACAAACCAACCAAAACCCACAAACGCCAAAACCCCCCAAAAAACCCCAACCAAGAACATGGAAGTTTTAGCTTAGACCAACTCAGAGCAGTAAAGCAGGTTTGAAGAGCAGGACTGGGATTTTGGGACACTCTTGACTTCCACTGCCATGAAGAGTTTTTGAAGGCATATCCCTAAACATTGGCTGCTAGCAGCAGATCAAGGGAATGGGTTTAAAGCCTTATTATCTCTCAGCACACCCCAGAACTGATAAAATTATTTTTCACATTCAACATACTTTCTAGAGTTTTGGATACTGCTTATGATTTTAATAATGAGAGAAAGCCACTAGGAAAAAAAAAACCTACAAGAATTTTGGGGTGACATTTTAATTAATTTCAGGGTACAAGAAAACATGTGTATGTGTGTAGAAAATTATTTTTTAAAATTCTTTTTGCAGCTACAAACCTTGTGATTTCACTGACCATGAAAAACTTTGCTATTAGTTTTGGTGCTTTTATTTGTGGAGGATTTTTTTGGGAGTTTGTGTTGGGTTCTGGTTGTTGGTTTTGGTTTTTCCTGCCTACAGCTTTGTATTAGCAGATTTGGGTTTGCTTCCAGATGCATTGTACACACCCACTTGCCATTACAAAGAAGAAAATACAATAATGTTTTCTACCTCAAGGGCATGACTTGTGCTTTCCCCATGACAAAATAAGGGCTTTTTTGCACACTATAAAGCCTGACTTTTGGAAAACAGCTGGCATCAGATCCATGGCAGGCTTTTGCACCTGCTGGTGTGGCACCCAGCCTGTGAGCTGGGCTTTGTCCCATTCATCTGCTTCTCTGTGCAGGCTGCCACAGTGCACCTTTGCACTTGCACAGAGTTAGAGCTGCTGGCACCTTCTGCCACTTAACAGCAGCAACCTGGCATGGTTCATTCCAGCAAAAGCAGTACAGCTGAGATATGTGTGTATTGCAGAAGATGGGGAAATCCTAACTAGCTTTCAGAATAGAATAATTGAAAAGCATTGCTGGCTTTCAGTTCTGTAATTGATTCTGCAGTTACACTTAGGACTTACTAGATCATTTAAATTTATGGCTAAAATACGTGAGAAATAAAGCCTCTAGCAAAAAAAAAAAAAATTGATTTATTTAGAAGTGCTACCTGTACTTGTATTTTCCATAAAACTTCGTGAATTTCAGCTGCAATGTAATCTTCCTTTCTTCTTTTGTACTGTTCTATGATTTTGTCCAGAACAGTTAAACCACTGGCCTGTGATAATTCTGAGTGTGATAACCAAAATTCCAGTTTTGTGAAGAAAAGTTAAACAGACCAAACTTAGTTGTTAGATAAAACTATGACCATTCTGAATGCTTGGTTCACCACTATGGCATCATGGAGAATTCTTGATGCTATCTGTGAGCAGCATTCATAACCTCTGCTATTTGTCTGAGTAAACGTCAGAGTGCTCAAGGAGAGAGCGATATTAACCAGACTACCTTGCACCAGGATGGGAGGGGAGGGGGAGAGCAGGGCACAATATTTATGGCTCCAGGAACTATAAGTTGTAATTTAATGAGATCAAAGCGTTTGCTGTTTATTTGCTGCACTAGGAGCTCTGAATAAACTGGTTACAAAACAGATACAAAAAAAAAAAAAAAAAAAAAAAAAAAAAAAAAAAAAACCCAAAAATTTTTTTTAAAAAAAAAAAAAAAAATTTTTTTGTGG